AGCCTTAGTAAGAGAAGGCAACACTTAGCAAAGCCAAGTCATTGGTTTTCTAGATATTTCTAGTTTCGTGTTATTCAGGTTTAGAGAACTCAGTGGGGAATCAGACATTTATATAAACTAACCTAGAATATGCCATTTAATTTAACTCTTAGTGTCTCTTTTACTTTCTCTCTAGTTAGAGAGGGAGTCCAGAGACTAAATTTTATATTTTCTAGAAGCATTCTGAGAAATAATTTTGTTGGAAAGATTTTTTCAATGTATGATATAGAATTCTGTTACAACAGGAGATTGTCTTTTTTGCTAACAACACATAGGGAATAAAGACTATAAACAAATTAATTGTTCTTAGAGTCTGTTTTATAATGTCAACTCTTTGTGAAATTTCCCACATAAGGTACCATGTTTTTCATTTTCTTCTCTGCTGGCCTTGGCTTACAGCCATGATCTGCCACACTCATGTATCAGTGATGTGCTAGAATACAAAATATACAGGATCCTTGCCTGGGGTGCAATTTCAGTGTTCTGCTAGCAGATGCCCTAGTGGGGTATGAATGCCTTGAACTCCATGATCCTTTGTGATTGATGTGAGCATGACATGTGTTAGGACTTTTTTGGTTGGCTTACTCGGATTTCAATCAAATGTTAAGGTAACTATGGGGTAAAATGCACTAGGGAATGTATTACATGGTATCAGAAAAGATGCAGAGTGGCTTTTCTACTCAAATAAAATTAAATCCTGAGAAATAAAACCCTCAAAGGAACTGAATGTAGAGGAGAAAGGGAAAGACAATACCTTATCATTAAAAATCAATCAGATATTTACTAAGTGCGTCTTCTGAGGATTCCTTACATTTCAGTAGCTAGCAGATCTGGGTTTACAAAATAGTCTCACATGCATTATCTTATTTGATCCTCCCAACAACCAGTGAGAGAAGAGAGGCAATCTAAAGATGAGAAAATTGCATCTCAGACTTAAGTGCTTCCTGAAGACCTTACACCCAGCTTCAGAGAGTGGAGGGGCACTGAAATTCCCCCAGTCTCCACACACTCTGTCCTGGGTTCACTCTTCCTCCACCCCTGGGTATTGTGCTGTGTTTGGTTCTCCAAAGGAATCTAAAGAAGTGAAGACATGATCTCAGCCCTTAGGAAGTTTATGATCTTAGATGGGGAAAATGCAAATTTTCATAATGAAACAAGCAGAGAATCCTTAAGTGTTAAACTGTAGTACGCAGGCTATAAATACAACAATTGGATAATTTTAATTGAAAAATAAGGTGCTATAAATTCTACTCAATGCCCTGAAAAAAAATATGTGAATAGGTATTTCTGAAGGTTTTCAGATAGGCCATCAACATTTTCCATGATTAATTCTTATTTATTTATTTATTATTTTTTGGTAGTGGTGATTGAACCCAGGGGTGCTTAACCACTGAGCCACATCCCCAGACCTTTTCATTTTATTTATTTATTTTATTCGGAGACAGGGTCTCACTAAGTTACTTAGGGCCTTGCTAAATTTCTGAGTTTGGGCTTTGAACTTGTGATCCTCCTTCCTTAGACTCTCAAGTCAGTGAGATCACAAGCATGTGCAACTGTGCCCAACCCATGGTTAATTCTTGACCAGGAGAAAAGCCAACAAACACAAGCTTGCACAGTTTTACAAGGACATTTGGTTGACTGGAGGACCAAATTGTTGAGTCCCTGATCTCATACTGGCCTCTGTTGTTCCTCTGTTGTACTGGAAGTCTGTAGGAGCTGGTCCTGGCCTTGATATATTTGTTAGGTCCTCTAAAACATCAGTGGAGGCCATTGAGAAAGGCCAGTTGGCCTCCTGTTATTTACCTTATTTGCAAAGGGAGTAAAGAAAAGGATGCTTTTTTTTTTTTTTTTTTAAGAAAACTGCCAAGAGATAGGAAAATGGAATACATTTGCTCTGTACTCAAAGGGACCACGGACTTCTAGGCTCTGTGGAGATCCTGTGATCATTTGAATGTTCTACTATCCTAATGTTCAAACCTAACACTTTTCAAATCCCTAATTGTTTTAGAAGCAAAATTCTATTCCAACTACCTGTTTTTTGTCTTTTCGGCAGAGCAAGCCTGTGCTGAGAGACAGTTGTGGGACAGTCCCTGTCTGTCACTGTCTTTGTCTTCCCTAAGGAGTTGATGTATTGCTTGAGAGGCCCCATGGGGACTTCCAGAGCCACAGTGAGTGACTGGCCCCAAAACTTTTACCAAAAATTGCCCGTGCCAGCTTCTCAAGCATTGTAGCAATCCTGTGTAGTCTTCCTCAAAATGCCCTTTGCTTCAGCAACTTAACAACAGTAATTTGTAATATAAGCTGGTGCCCCTGAGACATTGCATCCTCTTCATCTTCTCAACACCTAGTAATGTCCAGAGCAGAGATTTTAAACTCATCTCTGGAATAGGCTGGCATGGATGATTCTACTGGACGATTCTGCTCACCACCAGGGAAGACAGACAAAGACAGCCTGCTGAAGGTGCCTGGGAGTCACTCCTCAAGCGCCAGTGAGTGCCACCCAAAGGGAGGAGAGGGTGGTGGGGGAAATCAGATTGCAGCTCAGAATGCAATTGTTACTGCAAGAGCGGAATAAGAGCAGACCTTGCAGGTTCCGCCAATGCTACTCACAACCCTACTCACACGGAGCACTTGAGTGTCAACGTGAACACAATGTCATCAACTTGTAAGCCCAAACATATAACCACTGTCACACATGACCTCGCAGGCGCCTCCTTTGGAGCCGTTTTTCCAGGGGCAGAAATAGGTTAATGCTGAGTCAGTCACTAGCTTTCATTTCACCCCACAGGTGTGAACAGGGCCTCTGGGACCCGCTCTGTCACCTACTGGGTGTGTGATCTTGGGAAAGTTATCTAAAAATTCTCTATGTCTTCCATTCCCTGTATGTGAAATGGTGATAATTATATCAGCTCCCCCATAAAGATGTTATGAGGATTAAATGAGGTTAGAAATATATGGAGCTTAGAACATGCTAGAACGTATTCTGTACTGTGCTCATCTAATATTAAAGTCTTTGCTCCAGACACTGTTAGGTTTTGAGAAGTGAAAACAAAGAATAGGCAGTTTGTGCCTCCGTGGGTGTACAATCTATATTGTAAATCCCTGTTTTAATGATTTGTGTAGCCTAGCCCAAGAGTCAGAAAATGCTCAATCAGGGTTTCTGAATGTGATTGGCCTGGGGAAACAAGCAAGTTGTACCACCAATTTTAATTAAATGACGGTATATACAAGTGTGTTGTGTATATATACGAGTTCTGGTCCCATAGAAGCATTACCTCTTTTATTTATTAGTTCTGTAGCATGAGTGCTGAGACTGAGTGTGGTCTGGAGGTTGAGGGTAAGGAGGTGGAGGTGCACTCGGGGAAGTCTTCCAAGAGGCTGTATCATTGAGCTTGGTTTTGATCAGTGAGTAGGCGTTAGCCAGTAAGAGAAGAGGGCTAGGAGTGTTCCAGGCAGAGGGAACATTGTGTGCACAGTTAGAGAGGCGTGAAATAGCACAATACATTCAGGGAACTCCAAGTAGGCAAAGTACAAGAGCAGCCCCATCATCAGTGTAACACACAGCCTGTGTTTGTGAAATGAGTATTTGAGATTAGAGGCTGTTAAATCAAACAAAACAAAGGAGACATTGCTTGTATCATTCTGGTCTTTAGCATTAACTAAACAACCAGCCAAGGACAAGCGGCTCTGGAGTTTTAGTGACGTGGTATTGTATAAGCCTGGTATAAGCGCTCTATAGTCAGTCCCGTTGTGTATCCTAGAAGAAGTCAGTCCACTCAATTTGTCTTTTAATTTTTTTTTTCAAAGTAGTAGAGGTGAATTAACAATAAAGTTGATGGAATCATGGTATAGGTGAAGATGTTTTGGAATAGTCATATATTGCTCTAGATCAGAGGTCAGCAAGCTGTGGCTTGAGAACCAAATCTGGTCTATGGCCTGCTTTAGTAATTAAGTTTTACTGGAGCGCAGCCATGCTCATTTGTTTGCATGTTGTCTGTGGCTGCTTCAGCGCTGCCACAGCACAGCAGACTGTACAGCCTGCAAAACCTGAAATATTTCCTACTTGGCCCTTTACACTAAATGTTTGCTAATCCTTACCCTAGATTCAGTTTTCCTAATCTGATAAATCAAAACCAATATTTAAAACAAGGGCTTGGGTTGGTTGAGAACCAGTGTGATAAACAATAGGTTTATTGGATTTTTTTAAAAAAATTCACTAGTAAGGAGCAAGAAGATTGCAAAGATGTTAGCCATAAAGTATGAAATATACACAAAATAAATGAATAAACGTAGATGCTAGGATTACCTTTCAGATTTGACTCTGAGACTCCTGGCTGTCAGATACAAACTAAAAGACAGGAATTGTTCCTCTAGTAGTTACCTATTTCCTTATAACAAATCATCTGAAAATTTAGAGCCTTAAAGCAACTGTCCTTTAGTATGTCTTATGAATTGGTGAGTTAGCTGGGTGGTCCAGCTGATCTTGGTGGACTTGTTCATACAGTGGTCAGCTGGCTTGTTGGCTTGGGGCTGGCTGGTCTAGGGTGACCTCAGCGGGGGACAGTTCATCCCTCCTGCACACACTCTTGTCCTCCAGCAGGCTGGCCTGGGCTTGCTCAGTTAGGAGTGGGAGGTTTCGAGAGAGAAAGTGGAAGCACAGACTTGAGGCTAGCTTAGAAGCAGCACACTGTTACTTCTGTTGCATTCTAGTGGCCAAAGCAAGTCAAAAGGCCAGCCCAGATTCAAGGGGGAGGGAGAATAGACTCCCATTCGTGATGAGAGCAACTGCAAAGTCACATTGCAAGGGGAAGGGAAGCAGGAGGGATGGAATTGAGGCCACGTTTAAAATCACAAACAATCAATCATAAGCTAAAACAGCATGTATCCTGACCACGCATTTTTAAAAAGTCATCTCTGTGGTCTCAAGTGGAAAGAAATATTCATCATACATGTCTCTTCAGCCCCACCCACAGATATGAATCATCAGTGTCTTCGACTAAGAGGACCATTATCCTGTAGCTAATGACAGATACAGAGGAGGAGTGGAAAGAAGCCTGAACCAGACCTGTACTCAAATACCACTTGACAGATTTCACTAGGAACCAGACGCAGCAGGTATAACCAATGACCAAACTGAACAGCCTTTGTCGCTAAAGTCTAAACTGACCTATGACATCCCTGCCAATCCTTCCATTCCCCTCCACCTTTGTTATCAGGTGGTGGCAAAACTGGTCCCTGAGGACATTGCTATCTGTTGTTTCTGGATGTGACTGAAAAGGCAAAAAAATGGGATATTTTTTTTTTTTTTAACTCACCAGCCATGGGATGATTTTTTAAATTTCTTGCTAAAAAATCTTCACTATTACAAACTTGCCTTGATAAATAATGTTAAATATAAATAGCAACAGTGATGTCAGAAAACCTCCTTCACTGTTCCTTTCCTGGTCCCCTAGGGATGTCAGTAAAAAGACAGCGAACTTGGTAGCCATTGCTTCTTAGACTATCTCAAAATCTTCAGAAAATCTAAAAGCGAAACTCCCAAACCACTCAGACAAAAATCACACAGCTTTGGGTTTGAAAATGTTCTTTCTGGCCCAGAACCAGTCAGGGTCATTGGACTTGTCTGCAAGAAGCCAAAGCCTTTACACTCAGACTTCAACAGAAATGCCACTACCAGAATGCTGGGGAGGAATGTGCCAGAATTTAAGGAACTATTTAGACTCCTGTCGACTGGCATCAGAACCAGCTGTGAAGGGGACTATATTTCAACTTAGATACAGTGAAAAGGAACAGAACTGTTGACATTATTGAAGAGGGTGGAGACAAAAACCCCGGATGTTTGCAGATAACTAATTAATGCACTGGGGGTTGGGTTGGCTTTGGAAGAACAGAGGACACTTCAAATTTTGGTTGTAGAAAATCGGAAGTTAATCTTGGGCAGGTCACAGAAAGGTTAAATAGACACAACTACCTGGTGGAGTACCCTAACAAATGTTGGTTCCCTTTCTCCCTCTGGATCTCCCACCCAATTAGGGATATCTTAAAAAAACAAGAATCCTGCCAGCCTGCTTCTACTGGAAAAATGTCAAGTAGGATAAGCTGCTGATAGATGATAACAATCAACAAACTTCACGTTCAGCTGGAGGGAGCAGGGCGTGTCCCCTCTCCTGCCCCTCCCTCCCCTCATCATGGCTCAGTAGCAGCACAAAGATATTCCCTCCTTCCTGCGGAGGAAGTGTATGTGTTCTCTCAGACCTACCTTGGCATTCCTTGATGTCTTAGAGAAGCAGATGACCCCGGCTGAGCAAGACAGTCAGCAGAACAGCAGCCCTTGATGCTGCATTTGGAAATTTCCATTCTTTGCTTGCAGCTCTGAAAAAAAAAAAAAAAATCTAAAGAGCCCAGTAGCTGGGAAATTTCCACGATGGAAAATTTTAACATATTCTTTAGCTCTAAACTATGCAGGTTTATAGACACTTTTTTTTTTCTTTTGGTAATTTCCTTCTTTAACAATAATTTATGAACATGGTAACTCTGGCGCTGTGGCAATAAAGAGGGCAAGATGACCTGGAGGGGAATGGGCTCAGTTTGCCCAGTGGGAGTCTACTCTATATAAGCACTTGACCACCCAAACCATAGAAAAGCAGATCCCTGCAAGACCCACTGGTTGGGAACTTATCCAAAATAAGAGATAATTTGCCCTGGAGCCCTACACAGAAATCTGTATAGAGACTGGAGGTGGAAAGTGATGGATACAACTTTGGAGCAGGACATGGTGAGTTGCTGGAGAAAGCAATCTTAGGTAGATCCCTTAGACCACTGCTTCCTAAATCTAATTGTGTATGGGAATCACCTGCGAATCCTGTGAAGATGCAGATTCCAATTCACCAGGTCTAGGGTGGGGCCTGAGTCTGTGTTTCTAACTGGCTTCCTTCCAGGAGACACTGAGGCCTCCCTTCTGAGGACCACAGTGTGTGTGGGCATAGCAAGGCCATAGACAACAGGTCCTCATCAGTATGAGGTCAGTGATGGCGGTAGCAGAGCACTGCCTGAGGGGGCCGGAGGTGAACTCCTTTGGGGTGATTTTCTCAGGTTATGAAGCTGAGGTCTCAGAGCAGAACTGAATGTCTCCTGGAGAGATGCACCGTGCCGTTCTGGATACAGTAGAACTTCTAGAATATGGGAACACATGCCGTTATCAGAAGGCTGCCTATTCTAGAAGATTTCATTTGGGGGATTCTAGGAATCAGTGCCTTTCCAAAGAAACCCCTGTATCAAGTTGATGAAGATTCTTGAACCGGTCAGAATCATGTGAAGGGAAAGAGCACCCAGAGAACAAATTACCTTCATTCCAGCCAAAATATTTGTTTTACTATTTTGGGGATAAAATAAAAAGGGAATTGGAGAATTTTTCATTTTCTTAATAGCTATCCCACCTTTGAACTACTACATGAGACAGACAGACAGACAGACAGACAGATATATCAAAGTCTATGGCATCTGTCCTCCAGGATGTTACTTTCATTTGATCTGTAATGTGTCTGTTTTGTATATTTTTAAAGCAACATTTGTCCCATTTTTCATTTTCCATTCAATTGAGTTCTGGATGGGTTATTACTCCTTACTTTTCAAATAAAAGTACACAGAGGAACAGATGGAAGGAAAGGAGGAGGGAGATTACAATCATGAAAATGTGATTGAAGTCAGAGTGTAACAAGCATGGAAAGAATTTGATTACATAATAAAAAGAATTAATATAGATTAAGAGTAAATAAGTATCCTAGTATGCTAACATCCACATGATGTTTAAAAATTCTAAACAGTATACAGGATTGCTTTAGGGGTTTGGGCGTCAAGAGGTTGGTTGATATCTTCTCTTTCAGAAATCTTCACTGTAGGGTCAAGGCATGATTCAGCATTGAAACAGGCATGCTTATTACTTGAGTAAAAGAATTCAGATGATCTTTTCTAGGTCTCCATGAGCAATTATTCACCATTCACCTACAGCCAATCAAATAGAATTTGTTTGATCCACCTAAAGCACATATTTTTTAAAAAATTCTTTTTGTAATTGTAGAAGAACAGCAAGCCTTCATTTTGTTTATTTTTATATGGTGCTAAACATCAAACCTCACATGTGCTAGGCAAGTGATCTGTCACTGAGCTACAGTACCGGCCCCTGATGCCCCATATTTAAGGAATACTTTTTAAAATAGATTTGAGGTGAATTTCCAAAATGAAAGGGAACATTTTAAAGTGAACAGTTCGCAGGCATTTAATATATTCATGACATTGTGTGACCCACCATTTGTATCTAGTTCTAAAACAACTTCATCACCCCTGAAAGGAAATCCTATATCCCATGAAGAGGTTGCCTCCCAATTCCTTCTCCCCCTATTCTCTGGCAACCACCAACATACTTTCTTCTCTGTGGATGTAACTATTCTGGATAGTTCAGATAAGTGGATTCCTGCAGTATGTGGCTCATCTTCTTAACAATAAACATAATAATTATAATAAAATTTAGCATTGAGTGTTTATAACAGGTGAGGCATGTAATTATTTTTTATGTATATATTTATTTTTTAGTTGTAGTTGGACACAATATCTTTATTTTATTTTTATGTGGTGCTGAGGATTGAACCCAGGGCCTTGCACATGCTAGGCGAGCACTCTACCTTTGAGCCACAATCCCAGCCGGAGGTATGTAATTCTTACAACAGACTTATAAACAGGTACCATCATTATTATATAGAAGAGTGTTATGGTTTAGATATGAGGTGTCCCCCCAGAAGCTCCTGTGTAAGACAATGCAAGGAAGTTCAGATGAGAGCTTTAATCTAGTCATTGGCTTCATCTACACATATGGATTAACTAACTGGATTGTAACTGTACACTAGAAGAGGTAGGTCATTGGGGACATGCCTTTGGGTTTACATTTTGTCCTTGGTAAGTGGATCTTGCTCTCTGCTTCCTTGTTGCCATGTCTCCAGCTGCTTCCACCCACCATGGCCTTCCACCATGATGGTCTGCCTCATCCTGGGCCCAGAACTGCAGAGTCCACCAGCCATGGACTGAACCTCTGAGACCATGAGCCAAAATAAACTTTCCTCCTCTAAGTTGTTTTTGTCAGGTTTTTTGGTTACAGTGATAAAAAATTGACTAAAACAATGAGAAAATTGGCACTTGGCTAAATGAATTGCCTGAGATCCATAAATTATGGTTTAACAAGGAATAACCTTTGGCCAGACCCACTTACACTAGTGCTTTTTCCAAATGCCACAGCTATATCTCAACTTCATTTCCCTTATCACAGACAGATGGATGGATACTCCTTCTCAAGTTTAACAACTTCATAGAACTTGATTCAAATACTGAATGTGTTGTTACTTGCTTACAGCTGCTATTTCTCTAGCAGTGCAGTAAGTCCAGGCAAACTCTTTTGAAGAGCTCATTAAAACTGCTAAAATAAAGTCTTAGAAGCAGGTGCATTCATTAGTTGAAATGCAGACGATTATGTTAATATCGCATTCAGGTGACAAATTTAAAGGCATCAAAATCATGGAGGATAAAAGGATTTTCAAAGCTAAAGTTAACTTCTTCCTTTGTAGAACTCTTTGTTCTGTTAAGCATGTGACTGACTGCAGCTGTCCAACTTGGGGACCTCCAATGTTATCTCACAAAAATAAAGCTGTTTTGCAATAATTTATTTCCCTTACAAATTCTTGAGCCTCAATTTAGAAAAAGAAAGATAAAGAATTGTCTCCAACCCTGCTGCTAGATCTGGCACCCCATTTACAACTTATTTTCCACCCTGGGTCCAAGGGTAGGGGAAACACATTTAAAAAGATGATTGAAATATGTAGGCAGAATTGGGGACGTAGCTCAGTGGTACAGCCACATGGGTAATATGCTGAGTTTGATTCCCAGCATAAAAAAAATGTCGGGGGGCTGGAGTTGTAGCTCAGTGGTAGAGCACTAGCCTAGCATGTGTGAGGCACTGGGTTCAATCCTCAGCTCCACATAAAAAATAAATAAAATAAGGTATTGGGTCCATCTACAACTTAAAAAAAAAAAAAGTTGGACCATGAGCCCTAATTTGGGAAAGATGGCTC